CTTCTCCAGGTTTTGAGTTTTTTTTATAAAATCTGATCTTTTTATTCATCTTGGCCCCCTCTTTCGATCGGCTAACCCGAATCGGACTTTCTATCCGGATCTCCCTTATGGTCCCGTATGTCTGTTTCTTATCTTTCTGATTGATCGATTTCATTCGGTTCTAGTACTAGTGTACGTTTTACTCCAGGCGCTATTTCTCAAGGCCCTAGAGACACGTAGACTGCCGCTTCACCGAGCAGAGTACCTAGACTCTGATTCCCATGCTTGCAGATATTAGACATTGCCTTCATGGTTCGTATCCTTGATTCAATCTGTCTTATCTGAGCAAACTGTAAACATCTACCCCTGGTCGCCTGCGGCGTCTTAAGTGAATTTCTAGTATATTTTGGCCATAATGCCGAATTTATGTGACGGTTGTGCTTATCCGTCTATCTAGTTCTTTGACTACCAAGCCTCCAAAGTTGTATGGTTTCTTCGAAGATAGATCACTAGCTGATAACGTTTTTGCTTGATTTCCGAAATTCGCCCCCTTTTCTAATCACGATCCCTTTTCCTCGGATTTGTGACAGATCTTTAATCCAGGCGTCTCCTTTTTGCTGGACTTTCTGTATTCTTTTTTTCCTCAAATTTGCTTAAGAAGTAGGTAAAATTATCTCAAACTCTACCTTCCTTCAATATACTTTTCATTAAATTTTCTCCGAAATTATGTAAATGGCCTCCCTGATCTTCCGATTCCTTGCGTTTTCATCCTATTAGACCCTTTTCTCAGTTGCATTCCAATTGATCTCGTGTCCAGTCTTTGTGCTATGTTCCGCTAATTCTGATCTTTCGGTATCAATTTTCCTTCAGAGTCTTTCGCATCACTTCTAATTTCTGTGAACTAAGAGACCCTACAATTCGAATAAAGTTAATGAGTATCTCCACCAGGCTTCTATTCAGACTATGAAACTTATGATACGGAGAGGAATAAGAAAGGATGTACGACCACCAACAGCCTACGGATTACCAAAGATACACAAAGAAGGCGAGCCACTAAGGCTGATAGTCAACAACAAGTATGGAGCAATACACAATTTGTCAAAGTTCATATGTTTGAAACTCAAAAAATTAAATGAGAGGCTATCAAACACGATGAAAAATTCATATGACTTTTCTAAAAAAAGTACTTTTAGATTCAAGGCTAGGTGAAATTCAGTGTCATACTGAGGCATACTAATCTAATTTTAAGAAAATTCACCTATTAGTCCTTAAATAAACTTAGCCAACAGATAATGGCTAAGTTCTTATTCTGTAAATTTGAAAAAATCTTTCTGAGCGAATGTCATATAAAGTATTGTCTAATCATAGTTTTGATCATAATCAGTTCATTACATTTGTATACAATTTTTTAGTCTTATCATAACAAAACTTCCATTATCAATTTACCTCAATCATTTTACGTAGCACTTCTTCTCGACAGCCCTGTCCCAATAATATATCAGTTACCAATCCCCATAATTTGTGCCGATCAGCTGCTATCTAGTTGTCTGATCATAAAGATAGGGGTAACCGCTATTCATTCGGTTTAACTTTTTACCTGTCCCAGATTCTAGCTCCTGTCTCTCCCGCAATGGTTGGTGACTTCGGGGTTCCCACAATGTCTAGCGTAACCATATCAACCGGAAATTCTGACTCAGCAACTGCTGAATATAGTTATTCTACGGCCAATTTGAAAAGCAGCTGTCAGCCTGTTTTTCATATGGCTAACATCAGCTCAGCCCTTGGGTCGTTGGCTCGCTTACCCAAACCACTGCCGCCTCCAATTATCGGAAAAAGATCTTTATTGGAGCAACAACCACAGCAGCACCATCATCAGCCACCAGGCGGATTCGGTCATTTGCCGCCATCTGGACAACGGTGTCCTTTGTATTGTCAAACTAAGTCAGCTACCCAAGTGGTCCGGCCACCAGACTCGGAGCTCGATGTGGTGAGTCACGTCATCGACGATCCAGATGGGCAGATATGTGTTGAGCTTGGCAAGCCAAGCATAGTCAATACTATCCGTATGCAGCTGTGGGATAGAGAGCTCCGGTAGGTTGAGTTGCAGAACCATTTAGCATCCAGTGATATATATTCCTGTTAAATAACCACGATAAATGTCGCCTGCCCTAGATAACTGATATAATTTGCTAGCAAGATTGTCTCTCTAACAGCACGACCAAATTGTGAAAACGGGTTCAGGTCACCTCTATACATATAAAGGAGACTGACCAAAACAGAGGACACAATAGCTTTGTCTTCATAATAATCATCCTCGCAAATTCTTT